CCTTGGGAATATTAAGAGTAGCCTCAGTCACTATACAGGGGTAATTTAGATAGGCGAGTAAAGCCAAAGCCCAAGGACTCCAGCGCCTTCGTGAATATGAAATGCTTAGTTCAGACGATCAGCACTTGCCAAATGTGAGATGACCTACTTCTGCAGAAATTTAAGGAGTATTTTGTAATTTTCAAGTGATCAGCATATGTAAATACTTTATACCAATTAGAAGAGGTTGTTTTTGTGAGTTTTCCATATTTCAGCAACTGTGTTATCTCTTTGCCTTTCTTCACTAGGTAAGCACTTTTCTGCAGGCTCGCAAGCTTAGCACTTTCTGGATTTGCCTTCATGGAGGACACAAAGGCTAGCTCAAGGGGAGATACAAGATGTTCTCTAGGAGTCCAGTCTTCATAGCATTCTGTCCTGTATTTGGAGGGGATGCCCTGGTCCTCGATTCTCTTGGGTCACTGCATCTCTGAATCCTGATACAGAAGACTCCTGTGAAGAGGGTATTGGTCTTCCCTTGGTTAGGAGCAGTAAGCATGGATTCTGGTACAGTTTACAAACTGAAACCTTTTTGGGTGCAAATGTACTGAATTCAAGTTTCCTGACCCCAAAAGTGTTTCCACGGTGGCATAACCTGTAGTTGGACTAGATGTCAGATGACACAGGCTGCTTAACAGTTCACCTTTTTGTTTTTGTTTTCTCTTTGGCTCTATGGAGATGACTCCAGAAAGAGAGCCTAGAAATACTTGGAGAGATGATGCTTTGGGCATTTATTAAAAATAGCATAGGCTCAAGAAGACCTACGATGTCAAAACAGAGAATAGGAAGAGAGAACTTTTGCGGAAGGGGACAGGATCAAGAGATGGAGGGAGGGAAGGAGGGAGGGGATAATGAAGAAGAGAGGGGAAGGAGATAAACACATTTAGGATGTGTTTAGTCCATGCACCAACTCCCCAGAATGAATAAGATCATTACGCACTGCAAACATCCACGACTAAAATAACAAACTGCAAAATCAAAATCAATAAAACAAAAAGAAAAAAGAATCTATTCAAATTGTGTACCATTCTATAATCTCAAAAGACAAATTGAGAGAAGCAAGCCACACTTCGGCAGATGTCTTAGGTTAATTAGAAACAGTACTTTCAAAGTGGAATGGCGGCAGCAATTGCTGATTTTCAGTGGAAACTCTTGATGATCAGGCAAGGAAACGGGATGAAAAAACTGCTCTCAGAGTACAACTCCCTACCTAGAGAAAATCCCTTTTAAAGAAGTGATGAGATAAAGATATTTTCCAACAGACAGCGCAGGGACAGCTTGTCACAGGAGACCCACCTAGGCAAGCATGCATGGTATCATTTATTGACGAGTCTCTGAACGATCACACGGGATCACACGGAATTGACAGTGGAAATCCGTTTTTGTTTATGGTATGGATTCAAGTGCTTCATTCCAAGATGAGGAGTGTGAACTGAGACAGGGCCCTTAAGGAGGTAATTAAGGTTGAATGAGGTCCCTAGGATGGTTCAACATCTATGCAATCTTAATTTATTAAGATGCTGCATACACGCTGATTCTTTCCTATGTTGGATTTTGCTAAGTGAGTTTGCAGAATAAACAAAATCTCTATTTGGCATGGTATTTAAATATGAAATATATATATATATATATATATATATGTATTTAAGACATAATTTAAAATAAGAAAATATATGTATTTAAGGCATAATTTAAAATAAGGAAAATATATATTTAAAGAAATATATTTTAAAATAAAAATATATTTAAATAAGCTACATATTTTTAAATAAGAACAACATACATTTAAATAAGATACATATTTTTAAATAAGAAAAATATATATTTAAATAAGATACATATTTTTAAATAAAAATATACATTTAAATAAGGTTTTTAAATATACATTTAAATAAGATTTTTAAATAAAAATGTACATTTAAATAAGATACATATTTTTAGATTTTCATTTGTATCTTGCCAGTGAAATCATGGTGCTGATAAAGGCAGAGGCCTGAGAAGTTGGGGAAGGCAGCTCTCCCCATCTGCAGCTGCTGATGGATGGAGTAAAATAAACTTCCAGACTGTGTGATTTAAATGTAACCAGATTCCTCATAGTTCTGGATGGTTGGAAACCCAAGACGGAGCTGTGAGCAGGTTCGATCTATCCTAAAATGGCATGGACAATGCTTCTGATGTTACACTATGGTAAGGAGAGCAGGCGAAAAGGGGGTCACACAGCACCCACTGGCTCATTATGACACTCAGACGAATGGACCCCTTAACAGGTGATCACTGCCCAAAGGCCACACAGCTGGCAACCCCACAGGGCAGGCCAAGTCATAGTTTGCAGGTTGAACCATGGCTCCTGGGCCGCCATGTTTTTGGCCCTGTGCAGAGGCAGCACACTGGGATGGAGACCTTGGAGTGGAGCAAAGTTGCTCAGCTCCTGGTGGCAGGGAGGAAAAGGAGAGGAGGAGAAGTTGGGAGCCCATAGCCCCTCCAAGGCCATGCTCCTGATACCTAACTTCCTCCCAGCAGACGTCCTCCAGTAGCGCCATAGGCTGGGGATCAACCCTTCACCAAGGCTTTGGGGATATTCCAGATCCAAACTAAGAGAACTGTCACTCACAGGATGTGTTTCCCAAGACCCACCAGGAGACGCCCAAAATTATACGGAACCCTATATATACCATGGTTTTTCTCCATGCGCCTCTACCTACAAGAAAGCTTAACTTGCAAACTAGATAGAGCAAGAGAGCACAACAGCTAATAATGTAGAGCCATTCTAATGATGTCCTGGAAGAGTAATTTAAAACTAATGAGCTTTTTTTAAATTTCTGGGATTATCTAGGGAATATTTTGGGGGTGTGGCTGACTGGGGGAAGAGAGAATGTGAAAAGCAAGTGGCAGGTATACCCTATACTTTGAAGCCCCTCGCTCCATAATATTTTCTCTTTGCAGAGATCACGGTTCTAGATCACTGGCCAGTGTTAGGCCAGAGAGGCTTCACCGAAGACCTGGTAGTTTCCACAGTCATATGTGTAGGAGCTGAGGGCCTGTGTAAACACTGGCTAACCCTTATGGAAATGGTCACCATATATTTTCTGCTTACGATTTTGAAACCCTACTTGAAGCAAGCCAACCAGCGTTGATATCCAATGCATTGAAAGAAGCGAGATCTTCAGTACCCAGATCCCCCATTCCTCAATGAGTAGTCTTTCCTGTATGAAACAGGGATCATCTAGATCTTTTTCTTTTAAGTCAGTCACCAAACTCTGCAAGGGAGGGCTTACCCAGTGGACAAAACCTCAAATGAATAGTAATTAGGTCTTGAAATGCTAAGCATGCTCCATTTAAGAGGGGAGAGGGAGAAGAGAGGGACCACGCCATCTGTTATGGATGAAAAACTTGGTGGTCAACTCCACTCCAGCTGAACCGAATCAGCATGGAGCTGACTACAGAGGGCCCACCTGAGGAAAGATGTCAGCATATAAAGGAGACCCTGAGAGGGATGGCATAGCTTTGTGGGTTCTCCTAAGAGTTCTTTGGAGCCATTGGTTCTCCTGAAGGAGAGCCATGCTGGCCTTCCTGCTATGAATTCAGCCATTATTATAGGAGGAGCTCGGGACCTTGTTGCTGAGAAGGGCTGTGGTTCACTTTGGGGAGCTCTGGTCCTCACGTTGAACACTGCTCTCTGGGGTAAGATGTGTGTTGTTCAATCTCCAGGAGAAGCTTGCCACCCTGGCTTCCTGATATGAACTCTGCTGCTATCCTTGGAGGAGCTCAGGAACTCACTGTCACTGAGGATGGCTGTGGTACTTTTCAGGGGAGCCCTGGTCCTTATTGTGAGCATTGCTTCCTGGCTCCATTGTAGAACCCTCAGCCTATTAACCACAGCTGACCTTTGGGTCTTCCCAGTTCTTCTATGTGAAATAGACTTGCATGGGTCATTGTCGTGGGTTCTGGACCTCCAGTTGGACTAGTGGGAGGCACCGTCATGGGCTCCAAGTCTTTAACTGGACACATGCAGGACACTGCTGTGGGATCCAGATCCTCAGATGGATTTTTCTAGGTCTTTAGTGTTGTGGACAGATTTCCTGTACTTTTTAATATTTAACTCCTTGGGGCCATCATAAATATAAATTCTGTGTCCTGGATTTAACTGTTCTCCCTGACTACAGCATCACCCCAAAGAAGCTGCCTTCCTGACTCCTATTGATGGGGCTCGATGCGTGAGCAGATGTGGTCACTAGTTAGAGCTCGGCCTGCCAAATGCTGCTTTGTGTGCCTGCCTAAGGGAGCATGCCCGGAGAGAACCCAGAAAGCAATGCAACTGCTCTTTAGGCTACCAAGCCTATACCAAGGGTTCTCCTAAGGATTGCTGTACAATTCCTGTACCACCATGAACCCTAGGAGTTAATACAATCAACTAATGTCTACAGAAGCAACCAGGCAGACGCAGGAAGAATAAAAAGAGCACCGGTTTATCATCAGAGTTCTCTCTCTGAACAAAAAATGTAAGGATGTGGCTCTGCTTGGGTTAAAACAACACACTCAGACAAGGTTTACCAAGCAGGACAATATACCCGGATGTAGACCCAGGTATTGAAAAATGTACCCTGCCTTTTCAGCTGCTTCATGTAAAATAGTTCATGATTAGAAGACACTGTGGAAACACAGATGCTTTGGAAGGAAGAGGTAACGAATCAGACAAGAGCTTGTTTCATGTGGAGTGTCTGTGCTGTAACCCAGGACACTATAGCCCGCTTACTACAGACCTTTTGGGTAAGAAATGAAATTCAATGGGCCACAATTATGTTTCGCATTTGTTACAGGATTTTTTTCAAGGGAAAATCGTGACTACCACATAAATATTACATGAATGTGTACAAAAGACTTTATTCAACTAAATCAACGTGTGTGGCAACTTTTAGGATACTACCAGTGGTATGCAGGGGAATGGAAAAACCAGACAACACAGGTAACCAAGAATGCTGAAGTGAATTTAATAGATAAGAGGCAGAACTGACCCAATCCACCAAACACATGGGCTGTCATGTTTACAGTTGAAAAACAACAACAGTACGTGTCGGAGTCACCTGGAAGGGTACAAAAGGACAAGTGGCGTATTTCCCTTTGTCCCCATTTTAAAGCCTCCAGGATTTTCTGTCTACTGGTGGCAAGAAGGAGCAGATCTGACTAGCACGCCACCTCGGGAAAGCCAAGTTTCCAAGGCGGGGTGTATCTACACAAGCAGCTGGTAAATACGTGCTGGCTGATTACGCCCAAAATGTACTGCGATCTCTGTTCAAGTAGCGATTTGAGAAAACTACCTATTCCAACACACAAACAAAAAAGGTTTAAAAAAACAAAAAGACCATTCTTAAAAGAGAATTTTGGCTGAGGTAGCAAAGGTTGTTGGACGTGGATAACACACACATTCCAAGTACAACAACTGATGTAACAGCTCCAGGAGTGTCACTGAGGAAGGGTCCAAAGAGAGATTCTGAGGGGACAGGAATTAATTTAAGACTAGTTTGGAGAATCATTTCTTTAGGTTCACCAGTATCATGGGTTTCCCTACTTGGGTTACAAAGTTAAGAGATTACCTTCTCCATTGCAAAACTGTGAATGATATATATATACACACATACACATATACATACATACATGCATATACATGCATGTATACATCATTTAGATTCACAGAATGTAAATTCAGAAAATCTAAGATGGAAAACGAACATAAATATAACGTCTACGGTGTCTTGGAGAAGGATATCCCTTACGTACAAATATGCACTCACATTTATGCACATCACGTTGCAGTATACATGTGTGTGTGCAAACACAGCTTCCGAACTCACAGATGCAGACAGAAAAGCTAGATGTTGGCTGGGGTCTTCCCTGGGTCTTTCTTCAGCTGGCCTTGGTGACAGAACGGCCCAGGCCACGTGGGAAGGCTGGAGGGGGCTGCAGTGGGCACTTCTGGCCCTGGTTCCTGCCATCCACCCTCAGCAGTGTGGGTTGTGAAACCGGCCTGGGGCAGCACCCGGGGGTCTGGCCCTCAGTCGAAGGCAGGCAGGCCAAACAACTCGGGCTGCAGGTCCTGGAGGGAACGCAGCACCACGGTGGCCTTGGTGGTCAAGTCGCGGCTCAGGTTTTCATCGGGAACCATGACGACCTGCATCCCCGCTGCCAGGGCGGCCTCCACCCCATTGGGAGCATCTTCAAAGACGAGGCACTGTGGGAAGAAACAGAAAGCTGAGATGGCCTTGGGTGCAACCCAGCTCCCAGAGGAAGTGTGACTGCCATGGTCTGGTGTCCAGGGTCTCCAGAAGGGCACACATTCAAGGCTCTACCCCCAGGGCTGCCGTGTGCTCAGAGGCCGCACTTTTGGAAGGTGGCTTGGCTACTTTCTCATCACTGAGACACAACACCTGACCCTGGGAATGAAAGAAGGAGGTTTATTTTGGCTTGTGGTCTGCAGAAGTATAGCCAGGTGGCCAAAAGGCATGGCAGAGGAGAAACAACTCACGGTCTGGAGACTGAAAGCAGACAGAGATCAACAAAGGAAGGAAGGAGACAAACCCCTCCAGGAAATGCCTCCAGGACCACAGCTCCTCCAGAAGTCCTAGTATGAGTAGATGAGGCTTTGGGGGGGCATCTCACTAAAATCCACAGACTACATGATCATGAGGGCTCTGGCCTTACTACTGGAGTGATTTAACCAAGGCTTCGTGGTTGAACAGACTATAGGAAGGGAAGGGAAAAAGGAAGCAGAACCCAGAGGAAGGAAGTGGGTGGAAGGGGCGTGACCCCAGGGGAACCTGTCGTTTCATTGGCCCCTTTATCTGTCTGTCTGCTTCCTGGCTGCCTTGCCGCCATGATGTTGTCACACAACATAAGCCTAAACATACAGTGGAGCCAGCCAACCAGGACTGAAAATTCTAAGCCTGTGAGCCTAAATAAACCTTTCCTCTTTTATGGTGCTGACTTTCTCAGATATTTGTATTGTATGGTATTTTGTCATGGTGATAGTCATCTAACACAGAATGTTTAGGGTGCTTGTCACCAAGGCATTTGGGACTGTCCCCACTGGGGTGGAAGGGCCATGTATGCTTCCTGGCTGACCAGCTGTGGTTCTGACCCATTCTTTCCCACTGGGTTTCTTGAGAGGAGACAAATTCTGTGCCTGTCGGAGCCTAACTGTGACACCGCACAGCTGTGCGTCACGTTGGTATTTTTGGTATGAAACTATTTTATTTGGATCGTAACAATCTGTTCCATCAATAATTGAACATTCAGAGTGTGAGAGAAAATTGTAAAACAAAATGATCATGCTTCTTAAATGTAAAAACACTTCAGAGCTTCTTATACTTCATGTGTTGTAGTTACAGAATTAAATGGTTCGTTGTCTTACTGAAAAAATTCAGGGCCCTGTGTGCTGGTGCTGAACATGAAGGCTAAACAAAACAAAATTCATGAGCACTGGATCAGGGGCAAGTGTACATGCCCTGTGGGAAGACCACAGTTGGTGACCTTGACAGGGCGGTGCAGGGAGGTTACTGACAAGCAGATCTGTGCAATGCACTCTATGCCTCTGGGCTGCTCACACAGTAGGCTGGGTCAGCCTGCAGGTCTGCTCCCTGTGCATGCCCTCCAGCTCCCCTGGGTGGCCTGTGTCAGGGTCACGTGGAGATGCCTCCCAAGTTGCTGCAGAGACATCTGTCTACTGGTGGTAAGAAGGAGCAGATCCGACTAGCCCTTCACCCTGGGAAAACAGGCACCCAGCCAGCTTCCTCCGGCTCCCTGGAAGGGGACCGATGGACAGTGAGAATGGGGTATCCCTCAGAGGCTCCTGGAGTGCTGCGCTTCCTGCTGTGACATGTGACATGCTCTCCTGGCTCCCTTCTTCGAGGGAGAAGGCCTGTGACTCAGGAATAGTCCAGAAAGGGCTTTCAGTTCTCCACTCGACTCTCTTTGGGGCCTCTGTCCCTTTGCACTGTAATACAGAAATCAGCCAGGTATGGTGACGGCCCAATGTGGGGGTGCAGAGGAGCGGACCCAGGGAAAGTCTCGCTCTCTCTTCCACACTCACCTTGTCTTAATGTCTTAATGATCTGCTCCACAGCTGTAGCGCATCCACGGACCTTGAATCACATTGCCAGTTCCCTCCCTCTCTCTTCTCTTCCTCTTCTGCCCCTAGTTCTTTCCCTCCTTCTGTGCAGAATCCTCCACTTGTGACTCACCCGAGGCTGACCGGAAGCTGACGTGAGTGACTCTGACCGCCATCGAGAAGCTCCTCTCCTACAGCTGGGGAGCATGTTTGCACTCCACCCCAGCCCACTCAGGACTCAGGTGGCTGGGGGACAGGTCCTGAGGTGTTTAGTGCTAAACCTGAGTGCTGGGCAGGACAGGGCTGGCTATAGGTCTTCCTTCCTCTCGTGTGTGTGTGTGTGTGTGTGTGTGTGTGTGCGCGCACACGCGCGTGTATTGGAAATTGAACCAGGGCCTTTGAATGTGGCTACATCTCTAGAACAGTCTTCTTCTCTCTCTCTCTCTCTCTCTTTTTTTTTTTTTTTTTTTTTTTTTTTTTTTTTTAATTTTGACACAGGGTCTCCTCCAAGCAGCTAAGTTGCCCAGGCTGGACCGAAGTTGCGGTTCTCTGCCTCAGCCTTGCAGAGTGCAGGGGTTACAGGTGTGGGTGGGAAAACCAGCACTGCTGCCCTTCCGCCTGAGGACTCCATGGGCCCTGCAGCCCCCGGCTCTTGCCTTTTTCCTGAGCAGGAGGAAGGGACTCCCTCAGACCATCAGCGCGGCTTCCTTAGTTAATAGCCCACGTGCTACCGGCTCCTGACATTTCCATTCCACCGAAGTTATGCCTTGATTAGTTTCTAAATGTCCCCACTGTCCTCTTCTGGGACCACGACAAGCACTTAAATGTCAAGTGGCCCTGTGACATACTCGTCACATCCTCTGGGGCTGCGGAAACTCCGCACAGTCTGCTCAGAGACTTGATTCATCCTGGGGCTGCAGCTGGTGAAGTACTTTGGTGTACCGGCTCGGGGACCAACCGTGCACGCAGGAGTGTGCAGTGGAGCTCAGAGCGCAGGCAGCTGACCTTGAAGGCAGGCGGGGAGACCTCCAACACCCCCCTGTGCACACCCTCAGCATGCTCTGGGTGCCATTCGTGTGCCAGATCCTCCTGCTGCTGCGGCAGGGGCAGTCACAGGAAGTGGAAGGAGGAAGGGACGGGGGGCCAGTTTGACTCTTTCTGGGGGCTTTCACCTCACAATCCATCCCTTCCTCATCTGAGAAGACTCCAAACAGGCACCAATGTGTGAACTGCAGGTAGATCTGAAAAGCTCCAAATCCAAGGCTTTCTGAGCTCTGACAGGACTATGCAGGGGGAAAATTCGATAAAGTGGAACCATCTGGGGCACAAAATTATTAAAAGGAGTCTTTGTAATTACCTTCAAGGTGTGGGAATGAGTGTACTGGAATAAAAAAAATTAAGACTTGGGCCCCATCCCTGAGGTAACTCATTACGCATGTGCGAATATTTAAAAATGTTTCAGAGTCCTAGTACTTCTGGCTCAAGCATTCCAGGTAAGGGGTTTCTGACCCGGGTCATGCAGAACATGGGTGTGGTAGGATCTGCATCACGAGCACAGAGTGACAGGAGAATGTGACTGTATTAATCCCTCCCTGGCACTGGGACAAAACCCCCAACATCCTAGCTGGGAGGAGAAGAGTTTTAGTTTGGTCTGATTTGCAGGGATTTCAGCCCACAGTCAGCTGATGCCAGGGCAGCAGAACGGCAGAGCAGAGGGCAGCTGCTTTACCCGCTGTGGTCAGCAAGCAGTGACAAGAGCCGGGTCCCACCCCGGGGACCACCTCCTTAAGGTGCACAGGGCCCAGAACTCACCCGTGCTCAGATCCACTGCTGAGTGCAGCGCCTGTGGGCAGATCACTGTCCGAAGACCCACCTCTGAACACGGACACTCGGGAGGACATAAAAGCCCTAAAGCGGGCGTGTATAAATCGGAAGGGCTACCAGCGCACAGGCAGGTAAGGCCCTACGTGCTGAGACACTTTGGGGAAAGCCTTGCAGGACCGGCTGCAGGATGGAAGCTTCCCGTCCGTGCCTACCGCTCATTATTTGCAAGTGACTGCAGTTCTGATGTGCAAACAGAGGCAAGAGTTAAGGGGGTCCCACACCAAAGGGCAGGTGTTCTAATCACCTGTAACATGTCCACAGCACCCACTTCTGCTTCCTGTGCCCATGAGGTCTGTCTGTCTGCCCTGCAGCCATCTGCAGACGCCTGTCCTCCAATAAGTGGCAACCTGGCGCGTCCTGCCAGCTACCAGGAGTTCCTCTGGAGAAAGGAGCGTGTGGAAAACAGAAGTTGGGGGCTCAGCTGGACGGTCAGCTGCGCTTGAGGGGCCTCTGATAAGGACAGGGACCCCCATCCATGCAGCTTCACCCTCCCGATCCCATGGTCTTCCAGTGGTCTCATCACCTGGCTCTTCCAACTCCAGGGTGAGCTGTCAACACACAGCTTCTGGGAGGACATAAATATTCAGTCCATCACCGTGGCCAGGGGGTAAATACAAATGAGTTTCAGCCCGGTGAGACTCGGTACCAGGCCTGAAAGACTGATCCAGGCAACCCTGGGATAGATCTGTGCTTTCTTTAGGGCATCAAAGGGGCAGCGATTTCTTACAGCAGGGGTGCACAGAGCTTTCAAGATGAATCCCAATGCTAATCGCATCCCACTGGTCTGGGAGAAGCGTTGGGAGTCATTTTGGAAGCTCTGTCAATATACCTAGCTTTAGACACAGTTAAAAAAAAAGAACAAACCGAACTGTTGGAAAACACACATATCCTCTGGCTGTGCCAAGAGCCTTGCAGTTAACAAGACAAGGCAAGGATTTCCTCTCAAGCCTCAACACATGCACCATAGGGCCTCATTTGCTGCTGCTGACTGTCAGGGTTTGAGACTCAGAATGAGGTGGATGCTTAAGAAAAACTGACCAGCACCCCCAGCATCTCCAAGACCAGCTCTTCCCTCTGACACCGCAGACAAGCTGTCGCTCTGGGACAGAAGCAGGTCGCAGGGAAGCTGGCTAGTCCTGGGACTGCTGGATCCGCCAAGCTGAAGCAAGAGTACATGGTGTTTTTTGGACCGGTTCAGAAGGATCCTCGGACTCTTAGAGGCCACCTTTGGAAACCCGAGGGACCATTCACACAGAATTTGTTTGATCTCGGTAACCTGATTCACTGTTCTCTCCGAAGCACCTCATTCAGACAGGGCTTCTTCTAGCCCACTTTGTTCAGCTGTTTTTTGAAAGCCACCTCAAAGGCCTTCTTAGGAAAGGCAGGAAACAAGGAAGGTGCCCACTGAGCAGGAGAGAAAACAGCTCCACCGGGGAGGAGAAAGTCATAGATAATTTTAAAGGGAAATCTCTTCATTGGCAGAAAGGACACCCCGCCCCGGCCACCTGGAACATCAGAGCTGGACTGTAACCTTTCAAAGTCAACACGCGAAGCTTTAGAATTACGATTTACTTGGAGACATTTTCATTGCACGGAAGAGGGAATACGTTTAAGGGTGTGGAGAACAAACAAATGAATGCAGGATAAATAAGACTCTCCCGGACTGTAGCACAGTTTAAACATGGCTTCACGCCAACCTCTTGTTTTATAAAGACATGAATAAGCGATACTCAGAGCCTGGTGTCAGGGAAGTGCTCCATCAGTATCAGCTACGATGATGGTAATGGAGATCCAACCTGCAGCTCTTATTAGACATGCACAGAGGAGTTGCATATCGCTCAAGCTGGTTGTAGCAGTGTGATTAGCTCTTACAGCACCATGACTCTGGAGAAGTGTCCCCCCTCCAAGCTGAGAGGTTAATAAACTGCCGACTAGTGTCACCTGCTTCTTCTTGTTTGTGTCTCCATGAGCTTCACCAAGCATGGACACGGAACAGCCTGTGTGTAGTAGAGGCCAATACGGGAAACCTGGGGTAGTAGTGTCCTAGGTGGCTTTCTGTTACAGTAACAGAAGACACAGGGTTGGGTGACCCATAATGAGAGGTGAGATAGCTCAGAGTTTTGGGGGTGACCTAGTTACTTTCTTGTCACTGCTGACAGAAGATACTGAACATCCCAAATGAAGGAAGGAAAGGGTTATTTATTTAGCTCACAGTTTGTGGAGGTTTTGGTCCAAAATCAGCTGGCTTCAAGGCAGAGAGGAGGAAACACTTCAAGGCACAGATAACAGCAAAACCAGCCAGAGCAAAAGGTGGGGAGGGCCAGCCTCTTCCCCTCATTACCCTGTAAGCAGGCTACCACCCCTAGGGTGGGTATAGCGCTCACACCATCCCCCTCCCCACTCCTGCACAGGCTCACACCATCCCCCTCCCCACTCCTGCACAGGCTGAGCATGTTTACAAGGTAAGGAACCTGGCTCCCTGCTGAGTCCCTTCCTTGAACCTTCTAAGCTTCTCAAGTTGACCCAGTCTATCAACTGTGACAGGGGCTGTAAAGTCCAAACATTTCCTACAAATGACTGCCTGGTAAGGTCCACGCTTTAGGCAGAGTGGTGCTCCACCCCTCTTGTTTTCTTTATCCACTCATCTGGGGGCAGACAAACATCTGTTTCCTGATTGGAAACAGACTGGACATGCTGGCTCCTCGGCTGACCTGACTGCCGAGCTCCCCTGGCCAGTCAGTGCTGAGAGGCCCACAGCCTTGTGTTTGGCCTTTCTTGCTCTTCCACCAAGGGGGCTGAGGGAGCCCACTGCACCCTGTCCCATCCCGAAGGCACAATGTGCCAAGCCACAGGGCCCTGCTGGGGTCTGCCAAGAGTGGCTGCCTGCTGCCCAGCAGCATCAGAGGCCCCAGTTCACCCTGCAGAGCCCCCAATGCACCTGGTCCAAACTCACTGCTTACCCCCACTGTTTCAGCCCAGCCGAGAGCTCGAGCCGAAATGCTGACATAAACTAAAGCCAGCGCTGGGAATCTCGAGGCACCAGGAGCACACAGGCAGGAGGCACCAGAGCTCACAGGTCCCTCAGTCAGTGACAGAGAAGTCAGCTTTCCCCGCTGTGAATTACCGGCAGCACTTTGCTCAGTGAGGGGCTGGAGGCTTAAAGGATTCACCAGAATGCGTGCAGGGCGCCCCAGGGATCATCTTTAGTTAACAGCGAAGCAGAGCTTGCAAGGTTGCGCAGCTGCAGTATAGAATCGTGGATGCAGGAGCGAGGTGGTGGGTAGCAGCCTGCTAGGGTGGTAGGGATCGAGCCCTGAGCCCAGCTTCACGGGGCGGTCACTCTCGTCACCCAACAGCCGTGCTCAGCATGCTGGCCCTATTGGCAGCCGAGCTCCGGCTCTGCCACCAGGACAGCTGTGGCGTGTGTAGGCCGTGGAGACTGGGCTCTTCAGAAAGTATTTCTGGAGGAAATTTTCAAGGCCCCGAGTGACAGTTTGGGAGGATGTAATAAATACTGGTGGCGACTGTTATCTTTGGGTTCTGGACATCAGGGAGTGGCTGTTAAGGAGAACAGGCCAGAGAAGCATTAGCAGACAGATTCAGCCAGCGTGTCCTTGCGGGGGACATGATTTCCAAAGACGCAGGCTTTGGCATCGGTAACTATCAGCCTTACACACACATACAGGCGTGCGCACATCATGCATGCAGGACACAGCCACTTGCATGCTACAAAGCAGGCGTATGTTTCTGTGGCCTGGAGGGGACGTGACAGATGTTAAGGCGGACATTCAGCTCACTGTCACCACCACCATCACCATCACTGCCACCACCGCTTCCGGTTATGCTCTGACTCTACCTAAGTCAGGGCTCCAGGGGTATCGTACATCCCTCAGGGCGACGCTGGCAGAATCTCTGTCCTCTAGGAGGAAGCTGACAGCATAACAGGCGAACTCAGCTGTGTTCAAGCAGCGCCCCTGGTTTTGCATGTCCCAGGCCCAAGCCACGTGCACAGCCTGAGGGCCTCCAGAAAAGGGTCTTCTGCAAGCTGCCTCTCCCATTTCCACCAGCAGGGCACACTCTGGGGCGGGGCGGCTGCCACAGCCATGGGAAGGGGACCCTGCCAGCTCTACAGGCTACAAGAGGCCACCTGCCCGGCTGTGCCGCCCCCTACCCCTACTGGCTGTCTCAGGCAAACCGGCTCTGCCTTCTGTGTCTCCGAGGCGTCATCCGCATGGCAGGGACACCTCCATTACTGCAGCACAGTGCCTGCCCGCCAGCGGAGCCTGCAGCTGACCTTCAGGTCGCCCGGCCTGCGGGATGCTGATGGTGGCATGCAGGGGCCAGCGCGGAATCTAGTGTCCCTGCTCTGCCTGCTGCCCGCTGGCTCTGGGAACTGGATGAGGCACAGTGGTACTTTCATTTTCCTTTGTGCTTGGGGAGGGAGACTTAATGACCTCCAGTGTTTAACCAGGGGAAAAGGAAAACAAAAGCCTCACCGCACCCCTCCTTGGAATTCCTGATGCAGGGGCTGGGCAGGCACTGGCCTGGAGTGGACCTGGGAGGGAGGACCTGGGAGGGAGGCGCTCATGCCTGCAGCTAGGAGCTGGTGCACAGCGTGGCCTGGGGCCTGAGGGAGGAGGGGAGGGAAGGAGGGAAGGAGGGGAGAGGAAGCAGCCAGGATGGCTCATTCTGCCCAGGCCGGGCCAGGCAGTGTGTGGGGCTGTGGACGCAGCCCTGCTGCACAGGGGTCGCCTCCTGCCTCCTCGGCATGATGGAGGTCGAAGGATGCCTGTGCCCCCTTGCTCCTGCCTTCCCAGCCGGCAGCTCCTCAAAGTGATGGAATTTCCCGAGGGAGGACCAAGCCCTTCCTGGTCAGATCTCAATCTTCAGTGTTAAGGAGCTGGCCCTTGTGGTGTCCCAAGGTCATGCCAGGGTGGCGTCTGCACGTCACAGAGACTGGAGGCTTTGGTTCTATGAACCCCAATGCAGGAACAGGACTGGAGCTGGTCAGTGACCCCCTCCCGCACACCTTGATCACGAGGCCCCACATAAAAACTCTCCAGGATGGCCGGTTGGGGCCCTGAGGCGGGCGGGCACATAGGGTGAGGAAGAGACCACGGAGGAACTCAGTGCCCACTGCCACGCCTGGTATGGGCATCTGTTCAATCGGGTGGGTGCCGGGTTCTTTCCTCCACAGCAAACCAGCATATGCAACTCCGTACTGGAGTTACCCTGTCTGCCTTGAGTCACTGAGAGGGACTCTCAAGGGTGCATGTGAGTACTGAAGCGTAGGCTGCCCAGGGCACCCGTGGCCCTGAGTGTTTCAGATAAGAAAGAGCAGGAAGGCCACTGGACTCCGGGACAACAGTGGGGTCACCTGAGTACACCCCAGGTGCTGAGCTTTATTTAGAAGGCAAATGCTGGGATCTGAGTCTGGGGCTGTGACCTTCTCCATGTCTCCTGGGAGCACGTCTCAGGCTGTGAAGAGTCTGTCTGCACATGCACACGTGCCTGCACCTGACTTGCGTCTGCACCTGCACCTGCCCTGAGCCTGCACCTGGCCTGCAACTGCACTGAACAATGCACCTACGCCTGCCACCCCACCAAGGATAGAGCACCACCACTCCACAGCCAAAGGGGCCAGGGAACGGGGGTTCCCACTGAGCAGTGCCTAGGGAGCCACAGTGGCAGACCTCAGGAGGAAGCCTCGGGCCTGTCTCCAGGAGGCCTGCCCAGTCCAGTGGACACTGCGGCCGGGCAGGGGGCTGTGGGCACCGCAGGCCACAACCACAAGCTGCTACTTTCCCAGAGTCACTGGGAAACCCACACGGGCTGGAAACCCACATAAGCAGCCACTGCAGCCACAGTGATCACTGTGTGAGTGACTGCGGAGCGAGGAAGTGAGCTCGGGGATTTGCGTGTGCACTGCAGGAACAGCCCTGGCCACAGGTGTCCCAGGAGCCCCTTCAGGAAGTCTGAGGTGTATCCTTCCGATCCCGGGTACCCTCGGCAGACCCACACTCTGGCGCACACGCCATGCAACGCCCGACGCTGTTCGCCCACGCCCAACTCACCTGCTCCAAGGGCGGCGGAGGAGAGAAGCGCCTGGCACAGGCCAGGAAGATGTCGGGGGCTGGCTTCCCGCTCTTCACCTCGGGATCGTCCCCCAGCACGATGTGGCTGAACAAGCTGAAGAACTCCTTGTGTCGGCTGGTCTTCATCTCGAAGGGCGCACGCCCCGAGCTGGTGGCCACGGCGAAGGGGACGTCGTGCTTCAGCAGGTGGCGGATGAGCCTCTCCACGCCTGGGGAGGCAGAGGGGGACCTCAGTGTGCTGGGGGCAGTGCGACGGGAGGGGTGCTGGCGAGGCTCAGCGCCGCAGCTGGGATGTGTGTATGCGGGGTCCCCGCAAGTGCACCGTGTCATCTGCCCCGGGCATGGTGTGTCAGGAGGCGGTGGGCTTCAGGAGGCATCCTCCCGGAGCAAAGGGGGTCTGGGGTACAGCTGAGCTGGGAGGAAGACACCAGGGCACCAGGCTCCTCCTTCCTCTCCCTCTCTCTCCCTCCCTGCTTCCTGCTCACCTGAGAGCAGACCTCCGTGTGCGGGAACACACCAGGAAGCGGGCATGCCTGCTGGCCCTCCTCCATTCCTCTCCCTTCCTTCCTCCCCCCTCCCTCCCTTCCTTCCTTCCTTCCCTCCGACTAGAACAGAGTAACATTTGAGATCAATAATGGGAAAGCTACAACTATCTGGATGCTAAACCACACGTTTCCAGGAAGGCACTGATCACAGAGGAAACCACAAAAGGATAATTCTGTGTAGAGAACAGGAACGCCTTAGCATCTGTGGGGTGCAACTAAAGTGGAAGAAGATGGCAGTATTTTTTTTTTTTTTTGGCCTTTTTCTTTTTTATCGGTACCAGGAGTCGAACTCATGGCCGTCTGTTTGCAAGGCAGGTGCTTATGCCGCTGAGCTAAATGCCCAGCCCCTAAGCTGATAGTTTTAAATGCTCGATTAGAGAAGAGGGCCCCAACTGGGTGGTCTAGCTAGTCACATTAAAAAAAAAAAAAAACAAAAAAAACAAAAAAAACTGTAAGATCAGTGATAGGCTATTCTTTCTCCTTAGAAGTCGCACAGAAAGAGCAAATCAAATGAAGAATGGAATAAAAACAGAAGAAACAACAAGGAAAAAATAATACAGAAAGTCGATTAAGCTAAAAGCTGGTTCTTTGAAACGATCAGGTGAAATATTGGACCTGTATCTCCACTGACCAAGAAGAAAAAGAAAAACCTAAATCTATCAATATAAAGAATGAAATGGAGCAACCCTACCGATCCTAAAGTCATTAAGAAGGAAAAAAGTTATGAACGATTCAATATCATTTATGTGACACTTAGATGAAACAGATTAGTTCTTTGAAAGACAGGAAACTCAGGACACTAATAAGCTGAACAGCCCCCCATGTAGTATGTGTAATTACAAATCTTCCTCTATCTAGGATCAGAGAGTCTCCGATGAGAGTGTATGAGTCTTCTCATACACTCAAGAAATAAGTAACAGGATTTCTAACCAAATTTCAGGACACTGAAAGGGACATTTGCTAAGTCTTCTTTTGATATCAAGACCACACTTCTCTGGTAGCAAAACCAGCCAAAATCTGGAGACCTCCCAAGGCATGTTATTCACGAGTACGCTCACTGTACCTGCTCACACCAGCAGTTCTCAACCTGTGCAAATGTATGCGAACTATGTGGAGCTTGCCTGTGTGAGTTAAAAAGATTTCCATGCCTATCATTGCATAGCTTGCAACAACTAGTTCTGAGGATCAGGGTGTATTAAAAAGTATTGGCAAACTTTCAAAATAAACTCGACCTAACCAGCGCGGAGACGGCAAGAACCGCTGTGGAAAAGAGACAGTCAGTAGCAAATGTCAGGCTAGTCGCAGGGAGAGACGCCCAGTAGCAAAATGATTTGCACTTGCAGGGGATGTTGAAGCTCCTATCTTATGCCCTTCTAATGCAAACAGTTTAGAAAACAACAGAGCATATTTTAACATGCAGCTCACTTGAAGACAGAAGAAAGGCAAATTCTGGTGTAAGATTTTTTTTTTGCGATGGTAATTGGTTTCATAGGAGTTTATCCTTGTCCCGTTCTTCCCCTCTGGGACTATTTTGCTAGGTATCTCATGGGAAATCTTAGCAAGAGCAACCACAACCAAGTGGGAGTCAGTCTATGCCATTTCCACTCCCAGGGGAGGACGCGGCAGTGGTGTTTGTGGGTGGTTTCCAGGGACGGGGACAGACCCCCGGGAGCGCTCTGCACCTGCCGAGGACACATTCAGGAAGCAGTGAGCCTGGCTTCGCAGGCACCTGCCCCCGGCCCCTTGCAGAGCTCCAAGAGCCAGTGCACACTGCACAGCAGCCCCTGGCGTCCTGTCACTCTCTCCCCTCGGCAAGAAGAGTAAAAAGCCTGTGAAGATGGAGACAGAGCTCTGTCCCAGGGTGATGAAGCTCATTCTTGAAATCGCGGCACTATGCATGTGTTAAGCTGGGTGACTGGAAGCGGGGAATCTGTTGCTACACAGGGTCAGGTCGCCCAGGGTGACGCCGGGGAAGGATCCAGGACGGTAGGGAACAGGGATGCCACATGCGCAGTGGACTGGAGAAGGAGCAAATGCAGAGGCTGTGAGCGGTCAGGAGAGCCCAAGGTCTATGCTGCAGATTGCTATGGGCCTGGCGAGTGTAGCTGACAGGGGCACAGTGGAGAAGCCTCGGGAGGATGAGGGCAGAGAGGGGGAGAGGTCTCGGTGGCCGGAAGGACACGGGACCCCCCCCCCCCGTGGGGCCTCCTCTGCTCCTGAATGTGAAGGAGGAGAGAAGTTCACTGGCCCTTGGTGAAAAGTCTCAAATACGAAAGCTCAAACATGGAGGAGACAGGAGCCCTCTGGGAACAAAGGCACCCCAGAAAGAAAAAGGAAAAAAAAATAGCACGGTCATCATGATGATTAGGATTTAGAGACAGGACTTGAAGACCCAAAGGAAGCCACGCTGGGATGGAGGGCAGTTCGAGCGTTTCCCGAGGCTCCCGTGGAAAAGATTGGACCCTGGCTGGGTGCTTTCAGCACACGTTGGGACCTGTAAGAGCTATGGCCACAGAGAGGGGGATTCCCAAGTTTTCAGGGTGCCTGTAAGGCATTGAGGGAACCCTGTGCCTTTCTATCGCCTTCCTCCCTGGCTCACCCTGAGGCGACCTGCTTGGTTCTGTGTTCCTACCCTGACACTACCAACGTCTCTGGCCGGAAGCCAAGGGCCCAAGGCCCAGGAGCTCCTGAACTCGGAGCCAAGATACACTTTCTCTCCGCAGAAGCTGGCATCCCCAGGTGCGCCCTCCGGGAGGAACAGGAAGGAGGAAATGTCAGCACTGAGATCAAGTTCCCTGGGGAGGTGTGCCCAGGAGCAGCCCGGGTCCACGCAAGACTGCTCTTTCCCCATTTCCCCATTTCTAGTAGTCACGTCTGCCTTTCAAAAGGCAGGACACTCTGAAAAACACCCTCCCGCTGTGGTCTGCCAGACCCTGACATTTATGCTGTGAGGAGTTTCACTTCCTTAGGGCCATCGAGGAACTCTGCAGGGTCCCGGGGCTCACGTGCCTCCTCCTAGCTGTCTCCAGCCTTGCTGCGGGCTCAGGACCGGGCTGCTTCCTGCTGCTGTGCTGTTCTGTGCAGAGGTCCATTAAGGTGTTCTCTCCACGGGGTAATTCTCAGCTCAGGAGGGGACCCTCGGACTCAGGCAGCGACCGCTGCTCTGAGAGGGACCTTTACGGAAGGCACTGCATGGAGTTAAAACACGCCTCCTTGTGGGCTCTTTAGAAGGGATGCTGGTGACCGAGGGGGGCACCCTGCTCCGGGAGTGCTGCTGGGACCTTCAGAAAGCGTGCCACACTGGTCCCTGTCTCCCAGCCCAGCTACATCACACAGGGAAAGAGGGGGATTTGGGCAGTGGGGCCCAGGCAGAGAAGCGGTGTGAACGGGCAGATCCCGTGTGGAGCCATTTACAAAGAAGGGGGGAAAGCTAAAGGGAAGGTCCAACAGGTAGCCAGGATTCCACACCACAGAAACTGAACAACTTCCCCTAGAAAGGGACCAGCCGTGGAGGGCAGGGACCCACAGTGCCCTCCTTGACAAGGATTTGAACTCATGTCTTTCAAAGTCTGCATGCTTACGTGCTAAGCAACAGATGTCCCTGCCCAGGCTGTTTGAGGCACTCTTGGCACAGGGAGGACTCCAGCTGCCAGCTGCGCCCCTGGACCTCCTGGGGAAGGGGCTGGACAGCCACTCATCCAAAGCCGGCACGGCTGTAACGCTGTGCTCTCCGCCCCACCCTGAGAACCTGGCTCCCCTCTCTATTCTCAGTTCCCCTGCAGAGGCATGGGCTTCCCTGTTAACTCACAGGGCTCACCTCTCCTCTCCTGCAGGCCTGAGTCACTGATGAAAACCCACGCTGACCACTTCTGATGGAAACTATCAAGACTAGACGTCTCCATGCACACGGAGCTCAGGCTCGCAACACACAGCTTCTAAAATGGTTACAGTTCCTTTGTTTATACGCCACAGAATTCAGGAAATGCAGATAAATACTGACTTTTTATTTTCCTAACTTTTACACATTTATCCTTTAAGATGGAGCCATCCTGTAAAAACACTAGCAAGGCACACAAGCCTCTAGTGAGGAGCTCCTGCGGGCTTCGGCCGCTGTGACCTGCCGGGTTTCTTAAAGGTTTAATTCTGAGCCGTGCTTCAGGCCATCAATCTGGCTAGTCTCTGCTGCTGGGAATCCTGGGACTCCACTTGTGTCTTAGCACAGCTGGTTTGGGCTGGGCTCCTCCCTCCTTCGTCCGGGATGTGTGTGAATTCTGAGCTGCTCTGGAAAGATGCCTGAGGTGCCTGGCTACTGGGGCAGGCTCTTGGCCCTGGAGGTCAGATGCTCGGGACTCACTTACCAGGGACCCTGCAGGGGCCCCTAACAGTGGAACCGAGTCACTGGACTGCATCATGGAGCCACACAGTGCCCCAGAATGGGGGAGAAATGAGGGTGAGAGGGATTGGGTTGGAGGCAGAGGCCTGAGACTCCAGCAAGACCGGAAGCTCCCATATGTTCCAGGGAACTCACAGCTGTGGCTGACGCTGGCTCCTAGCTCAGGGCAACATGATATTTGGGGGTGTCACAGGTCACTTTCTTGTGGCTCAGCCACAATATCTGACACCCATGACTTAAATGGGGCGGGGTTTATTTTGGCTCCCAGCTG